ATGCAGTGTCCATTCTGGGCGTTGACGATCATAGCTCTCCATAACATCCTATCCTTTGTAACTCTTTGAAAGGTTGATCTTTTTACTATCCTTCACTCTCCCGGTTCTGCCATCCATTTATACCAGATCATTAGGTAGGCTTCAATATGTCCTGTGAGTGTCAAATTCTCCAAGCCCTTTTATCTCATTATATGACCTAGAAATTTCGACTCAAAGTGCAAAAGACTTTTTTCGTTGCTCACATGTTGAGTCCATGTTATTCTCATCAGCCTTGCCTGAAATTTCTTTGTGTTAAGATTATCCTGTATTTCCATGTAGGATGACCGATATGTCATAACAGTTCAGTACTCTTTTCTATACTATTTATATTATTCGGACAATTCTTCTCATCTTTGTCGCCATATTTATTACAACGTTTCGGCCGTTGTACGCTCCGGCATCTTCAGATGGTTGGAATGTCGAACTGAACCCTTTATTTCGCTCGCTGGAGTAGACTGTTCTAGTTCCACGTGCCATGTTTAATGGGTGTCAGTTATCAGTTATCTCCTGCTAATTTTCCCTCTGAAAGTTCTCTACTACTTTAACCGCGTATTGAACTCTTTGGGTCCTGTCACATCTAATCAACGCCTTTATCCACTGTGCCATGTGTCCTTGAATTTCTGGGTATTATAAACCTAATGTCTCAGCATCATTTTTTTACCAGTGCTCATATAGCAATTTTTGCTGTAATCATACATATTTTTACCAGAGCTCATATTGTAATTTTTATTGTTATTATCGCTTTTCTCTGGCACTCCTTACTGCTGGTTCCCATATTGTATTCATTTCTATGCTTGGTTGGCGACAAAGATGAGGACAATAGTCCGAATAATGTAAATAGTGTACATAATACCTCATCTCAGAAATATAGACAGATACTCTTTTCTATGTTTCTAATAAAATTTTCCTATTCCTTATTACTTTGCTTAGTGTTTGAAAGTCTTCTTTCGCTATGCACCTTCAGGTTTCGGTGTCGCATTTCTCGTCTTCCGTCAAAATATTTACTATATATTATATATTTGTACTTGCTTGATTTTAGTCTATCCAATTTTTAATTTACATAGAAAAAAAAAAGAATCGTTAGCAAGCAGTGGCTGATTGTTTCCCACAACCTTGATTATCAATTACACAGGACAAGAATTAAAAAAAATGGTATATGTGATATTTTGACAAATTTTGAACAATTTTCAGACGCTAATCTAAAAATAATCGTTGACCTGGTTCTCCTACTTTATATCTCGAGATTCTTAACATCATTCATAGAAGGGTCTGTAATATAATCGATCATGACCTTGCATATCGATCTAAGTCACTTCCCTCTGTCTTTTCTACAAATATTTTCATAGAAACAGTTCTGATGAGCTTTCCCACTAGATAGCTCAAATGCAGGAATTTAATCAGGTTACTAGATTGGCAACTAGGTCTCACCGTTTTACTGTTCAACTAGCTTGGTGCAACCATCTCTATTGCTATTGTTTCTTTTCTCGCACTTCTCAGCTGTGTAACTCCGTTTCGATTTTATTTTGCATATATATATATATATAGATTAAACAGAACCATTAATCAGATAATTCTACTTTTTCCCCTCAGTAGTATTACATAGCTTCGTGAAAGATTATTGTTTTTTCACTTTTTAGTTCTCGGACAAGTTAGGAAAATTTGACAAAAAAATCTGTATACAGTGGGCTATTATAATTTTTTAGCCACCCTTGATTACAGCAATTTTGGCTTGTGTAATAACGTCTCTTGTTTTTTACATATAATATCGTGTTAGTATCAAGCTTCTCTCATTTCTGAACGATAGTTGACTTATATTTTGTAATGAAGTTTCGCGGAAGTAAGAAAATTGGTGAATTTCAATGAGGACAAATAATAGGATGGTATCAATCAAATAGAAAATTTTCTAGGTTTTTCCAGGTTAATCATCAAACGGTTAATAATATTGTCAAGAAATTTAATAAAGGAGGAAATTATTTACATTATTTAAATCTCCTGAGCCGATCAAGCATAGAAATAAATACGATATGGGAACCAGTAATAAGGATTGCCAGAGAAAAGCAATGATAACAACAAAGTTGCAATATGAGATCTGGTAAAAATATGTAATGATAACAGTAAAATTTCAATATGAGCACTGGTAAAAATGGTTGCTGAAGACATTAGGTTTACAATACTCAGAAATTCATACCCAGATGTCCTCAAAGACACATGGCACAGTGGATAAAGGTGTTGGTTAGATCCAGTGACAGGACCTAAAGATACCCGGTTAAGGCAGTGGAGAACTTTCAGAGGGAAATTAACAGGAGATAACTGATCACTGACATCCATCAAACATGGCCCGTGGAACTGGAACAGTCTACCCCAGTGAGCGAAATAAAGGGTTCAGTTCGAAATTCCAACCACCTGAAGAAGGCCGTTGTAATAAATATGGCGACAAAGATGAGGACAATTGTCCGAATAATGTAAATAATGTACATAATACCTTATCTCAGAAATATGGACAGACACTGAAGGAGGACATTGTCGTGTGGAACAATGTTCAGGAAGACCAAGCATCGTATCTGAGCGAAGAGGGAAGTCACGAGAAACCGTCGTCAGAGCATCAAAGATGTCACCAAAAGTATGGAAATGTCGCCATATGCGGTGAGAAAAATTCTGAAAGAGCTAGGCTATCAAAGAAGAGTTGCAAGAAAGAAACCCTTGATTTCAGAAGTTGACAAAAACAGACGCATGGACTGGGCGAGAGAATTCGAGCAGTCTGTAATTTGATCAGAAGTAAGTAAATTCTGCCAATATTCGAATTCGAGAGAGGTTTATACTTGGAGAAATCAGAATGAGACTTGGAACACTGAATGTCTGCAGACTGGATTGGAGTAATGATGTGGGGCGTTGTCTGATTTGGAAGGAAATCCGATCTGATTCTTGATACCGTGCAGTTGAATGGTCCAAACTGCTGTCAAATATTAGAGAAAAGATTACTCCCACTATTTGAAACCAATCAGATTGACAAGAATGTCTACTTTTATCAAGAAGATGGAGCGCCATGTCACATGAGAAAAGTAGCAAAGGCCTGGAAGGAATCAAGTCCCTGCCATGGGTAGCCCAAAGTCTTGATATAAATCCAATAGAGCACGTTTGGGAGCACCTTGACCGAAGACGTCGAGAATGTTCACCCAAAATCACGTCAGTGGCAACCCTTAACGAAACATTGCTAAAGGAGTGGCAAAATATGGCTCAGACGATTGTTGATAACTTGATCAAATCCATGAAAAATTGAATACAGGAACTGAAACTAGGAAATGGAGGACCTACTCTATACTAGTTCCAAATACTGTTTATTTATGTTGAGTTGGGATTACGTAATTAAATTTTGAATTTCGATGTAGTTTATTTCTCCTGGGTAAAAACTTTTCTTAGACCATGTGTAAATTGAAAAGTTATAAATTTAAGTTTGGCACATTATGAATCACATAATGTATTTCAGTTTTAGTCATTGTGGTGTAGTGGATATCGACTTGGAGTCAGAACGCGGAGAGCCGAGTTCAAATTCCAGTCTAGTTCCTTAGATTCACTTACGCACAAATACCCTTGGGAAAGGTATGAACTCATCTCTTCTCCTCCCCCAGCATTAGGTTTAATAACAGGACAGACTGGGTTCTTTAGCCTTGGTTGGCAACCAATCTAAAACAGAAAGAAATGGCAACCTACTGCGAAACAAAATCTGCCTCGCCAGTCATGTATAGAACGATATATGATCGGCGAAGCGTGTATCACGAAAATGACACTTAAATGACTGGCCTTGCTTAGCTTTTGGAAGGCATTTTTCTACTCCAATGCACCTTCGGATTGCGGTGTTCATTTTTCATGGCCCCTTATAATATCATAGGCTATAAATTTACTTCAACTCAAAAGTATAAGTATCCTTTTATGTCCTTAAAACTTTCTCTTTGCCCATATAATGTGCATCTGTGCATCCTTCTAAAAGACTACCTTTTTTTTTTTCATCGGCATCACTCCAAGCAGGGCAGTAATGCCATTAAAACACGAATTAGGAACAGAGACATTAATGATGAGCAGAAAGAAAAGAGTGTAATCAGGTGGACAGTTGATACCGATTGACATTGCATTTAAATTTTTGCAGATTAAAGTTGGCTGGAAAACATAGAGCCGGAATGGAGTTCTACAAACAAGAAGTGCGAGAGAAGAAACTGTTAGCATAGAACTTACTGTTACATCTAGCCAGCTCAACTATAAATTGATGAGATACCGACTGCAGTCTTGTACTATGCTTAAGTTCAAAAACTCACGGTACCATAGCGAAGAGCTCATTCGAAAATTAACTCAATTTCCTCTTCGTCTTTGAGAAAATTGTCTGGAATTTATTGCCACATTTAGATAGTCTGCCAATTATTACTGTGTAGATGTTCCCGATTTTTCAAGTTGCTTTTTTTTTTCGTTTCGTCATTTCCGAATTTAAATATCGCCCATCTTTAACGGATTGATATCAGGGAAATTAAATATTAAATATTAACCCTTTGAGTCCAGACCACCGCTTTACTGGTGGTAGAGAAAAAATGACGTAATGCCCAGCCATCGGTTGAACAGTGGTAGAGAAAAATGACTTAATGTCCAGCCACCAGTTGAACGGTGGGTAAACACTTGCAGCTATTATCTACATTAAAACGTTGCATACCAAAGATTTGCGAATTTTAATCCAGGAGTTCAGGCAGAAGGGTTAAAATTGTTCAGGAACGAACATATTGTTTACTACCTTCATATAAGTTAAAAGATTTTTAATTCGATAAGACGATAGACATTACCAGGTTTTACATCGTCATAGTTATTTTTGCTTATAAATATATTTATAAATAGAATTAAAAAAAACCCACAGCCAACCGGTATGTAATATATCTTGCTTTGTTGTGTGATTAGAAAATTAATATAGCCTGAACACTTGTGAGATGGACTACGCTCAAGTTGCAGAACAAGGTAGGAAGTTGTTTATTTTCTTGTGTTCGTAGGAGCGTAGTAATATCTCTTATCTATAGACAAAGTCTCAGGAGAAAGTGTAAATAAAATCATTTGTAAGTAAGTTGACAAAGTAGAAAACTGACAGAGTAATACTTACGTTTTTAATCACACACAAACAGACACAAGCAAGACCGCACAAATAACTGTCTCCACCTCCAGCTATATATATTGTTATATTTTCTTTTTTTCTTTTAGAAGGTTATCTTAAGGGGGCGTTTTTATGGATAAGAGGGTACGATAACGGTTAACTTCAGATTTAGAGAGGTTAAGATTGTAGTGATCGATCGGGCAAAAATCGTCTTGGGAGTCTGTTTCACGAGGCAGTAGTTCGTGGGAAGAATTCGTTTGAGTGGAGCTTACTTGTCGCCTATGGAGTACGGAGAGAATGCATGTGGTTTGCTACTATGTAAGTGGCATGGTGGATCCAAGTCGTGAGGGATAGAATTGGCTATATATATATATATATATATATATATATATATATATATATATGTAAATAAATATATATATATATGTAAATAAATATATATATGTGTGTGTGTGAAAAGTGTGTGTATATAAATATAAATAAATATATATATATATATAATTATTTATATATTATATGCGCGGTACTTATTAGAAAGCGCTCAATATCAGAGATAAAGCTAACATATTTGGTTGGATTGATGTGAGTTTGTGACCCTGGGTTTCACGCTTTTGCGATCGTCAGACAAACATATATATATATATATATATATATATATATATATATATATATATATATATATATAAAAATATATGGAAAAAAATCCGAATATGCAAGTATGCTGTTTTAATGTTGCTTCAATGTCGACGTCAGACGTTTCGGTCTAGTAGACCTTCTCCAGGGGAAAATTTAAAGAAGCCGGGTCTAGTATTCACCGTGCGTGAGATAGATATTATTCCTGCCTCATAAATCCATCTAATATTTCCCCTTTTCTAGCAAGATTAATGCTGGACAAACGTACTTAGAAATTTTAGATTAAAATAAAATTCTTTTTCAGTTTTCATTTAAAATATACTCTATTTTAGGAATACGTTTTCACAGCATAGCCCACGTGACGCCAACGTGATCATATTACGAAACGGAAGGCTGATCTTAAAAATTCAGTTATTCTGTTTTGATAAGTCTTATGTCTATCGTCTTTTCATGTTGACTTGAATATCGTCTAATGTTAATTATGTTTTAATAACTATGTCCTAAAGAAAGTCTACTAGACCGAAACGTCTGACGTCGACATTGAAACAACATTAAAACAGCATACTTGCATATTCAAATTTTTTTCCATATACTTTTCTTCATACTGTCGCATCTATATCCATGTATTTGCTTACATATCTATATATATATAAATCTCTCTCTCTCTCTCTGTCTCTGTCTCTCTCTCTCTCTATGAACTGTGAAACAGCGAAACAGTCTGTCTGTGGATGACGTTATATATATATATATATATATATATATATATATATATATATATATAGGTGAGGTGAAGACGAACAGAGTGCAATTCCAACGTTCGAAACATTTAATTTAAAAGAGGGCTCAATAAAAAGTAAAGCAATATTATTTATTTTTTACATATTTGATCAAAACATGCGAACATCTCTACACAATTGCTATTAGATCAATAAACAAATATATTAATAAAAAATTGAAATAAATCGACACACGTGCACACACACACACACACACACGCGCACACACGCGCGCACACACGCACACACACACTCATTCACACACAAGCATAGATATACATAAGTATAAAAGTGGACATTGAGGTAAACACTGGAGACTGTCATTTTAATGCTTACAATGCTTATCTGGGCAATATATATATATATATATATATATATATATATATATATATATATATATATATATATATATATATATATATATAAATAGTATTTAACTTATATTAAATCCTTAAACTATTTGTTTAAAAAAATAAACATTTAAATTGATAGCAAACATCAAATAATTTTTTTAGACATCTAAATTTCTATCCAGTATTAAAATCTATTCTTTACATAAATTGCTAAAACCCAATTACAGCCTCTTTCTCTTTACTTCCCTCTCCCTCTTCTTTCTTTTTCCTTTTTCCTTACCCTCCCATTTCAATATATCACTTCCGTTAAGCTAACCGTCTAAATAGGTCATGGTCAGCTCACTCCTCCTCCCTCAATATAAAGTATACTTGAGAGAGATATGAAATTAATTCCTCCCTATACTCTACCATGTCTCTTTAACTATTCCTTTTACACCCTCTGTTAAATTACAAAAACTTACACTACCCATCAATTTTAATTTCATTTTTCGTTTCATTTCATTTTTGGAAGTGCTATCTGATGATCCGGCATCCTTTAAAAGGACTCTGGTGAAATAAATTATTATAATGGTACCTTAAAGTGGTCTGTTTTATATATATATATATATATATATATATATATATATATATATTTCATTGATGCATGTTTCATTAAATAATATAGACACATTTTGTTTATTTATTTTAAATAAGTTCCTTTCATATTGTCTGATAAGCTTAATAACATTATCATTGAAAGATGAAAGAAAAACACCATATTGATACATGTTTTTTTAATCCTATCTAAACTTTCGGCTTACATAAGCCATTATCAAAGATGACAATTATTTTTCAATATATCAACCAATACACGAACGAAACAATAATGACAGTCTGTTTTTGTTGCATGAAAAATTTCAAAGCAACGACAAAGTCGAGTATACGAGACGCGGAAGCGAAAATCGCATTGCAGCTTGTGAGGTCACACATGACCACGTGAGAGTAAAAACAAGAAGTATTAAGTATGAGTAGCCGTTGGTATATAAATCAATGACTTCTGTTATCAATTATACACATTTAAGAATATTTGTGGAGATTTCGTAGTTTATTTTGTCAGGTTAGGTTTCAACTGTTTTATGTATATAGCTTCAAGAATTTTTAGTTATTGTTTATTGTTTTCATGTTTAACTATAGTTGTGTTTTCACCGAAGATTTTTCGGGATTGTGTATGCGGCCAGGCATATTGTTTTAAATGCCTAAAAATGTTAGAGTTATCATTCAAATGTAGAGCCAGGCGTCGTGAAAGCGAGTTTCTGGTGTGACCAACATAAATATTATTTAATCCATTGAAGGTACAATCTTCCAAAGGGCACTTGAATTTGTAAACTAATACTAATATATCTACAATAGAAAAATCCTAGCAAAAAAATTAGGTTAATCATATACTACACTAAATCTAGTATATCCAACTTAATTATTCGCAATGATTCTTCCCCCTTTCCCCGTTAGTGATTTGCAAAAAACAACATAGTTTAAAAATTCAAGTGCCTTTGGGAGATTGTACATGGCCTGAAAATTGGTTTTCACCCCAGTGTCATCATTTATATTTACATACACCCTCTCTCTGATATTGAGCACTTTTATAGCATACCTTAAAACTATATTTTTATCACATATATAATTATCATGGGAGACCTGAACGCCAATGTAGGCAGGGAGAGGACAGGGGATATAGGTGGAAAATTCGGACTAGGAACCTACAGCGAACGTGGAGGAAAATAGTTTCAATAGAGCACGGCTAATGACCAGGTAATAGCCAACACGTGGCTCCGGGAACATCCGAGACGGTCATGGGCAGGGAGGAGCCCGGAAGGAGAAATTAATACCCAAATCGACTACATTACCATCCAAAAGATTCAGGAATGCTATGTGTTGAGAGAGACAAAAGTTATCTCCCTTTGACTAACTCTTTAAAAAGCTAAAAATAGATATATAGATATTCATGTGAACTGCCCGGGGGGGGATCGTTAGGCACGAAAGTCAAACATCCTCGTTGGTTCCTGGTAGTCAAACTAGAAAGACATATTTATTCAGACTCGTGACAATCAACTTAAGATAAGTACTAAAGAATACTTTTTTCCCCCAGATATCAAATCTCTTACAAAAACACATACACACCATGTATGAACATTTCATAAATATATATATATATATATATATATATATATATATATATATATATATATATATATATATATATATACAATTGCTGTTATATATGAAGACTTCTGTTGTTATTTTAAAAAATTTTATATGTTTATGTTGTATTGCTATTCGCTTGGGTAATGAAACTAATAGCACATTTTCGCGCACAACAAATGTTTCCCTGCAAAACCTACACAAGTGCCAACTGTGGAAGTGGCCATCGTTCTGTTATAAGTAAATTAAGAGTGAAACTCCGGAAACTGAAGAAGCCTAACTCAATACTCAAATTGCAATACAACAAACTCCTGAGAAACCCGTACCTGAAAGAAAAATATATGGATAATGTGAAAAGAAGATACAACTGAGACAGTGGAAAGGCAACTCGAAATGGGAAGCTTTAGTGACTTCAGCAAACGATATCATCCCAAAGGAAAATGGATTACAGGAATAATTGATGTTCCCATGTGCCACATTTTTGAGATTTCTATTACAAAGTTCTTGTATTTTGACAGCACTTTGAATATCTTCAAAGATACATTGGAATCCCCAAGAACTGACATGTCAATAAGGAGGCGTTTTTGTTTGTTTGTGGTCTCTATCATTATCATCATCATTATTATTGTTGTTTTCTTTGAATTTTGATGTATACTCATTTCCATCCGGGTTTCAGACAGAGACCTAAGGTCAGAAATGGCATTATATTTTCCACTGATCTTTTTTGTGACAACATAATAAATAAATACCCTAAAATAACACATATTTTACATAGATAAAGCCCTTCATAAGGTGTGAGCTGTCCCTGTGAGTACAATTTTTTGTACTTCTTTGTACTTCACTGATTCTATCTGAACCTTTTCCAATCAAACCGAGGGCTCTAACTCCAGCTGGAATTATTGATGTGCTCATGTGCCACCTTTTTTTTAGATTTCCACTTCAAGATCCATGTATTTTGATAGCGTTCCGAAGATCTTCAAAGATACATCATAATCTACAGGAACTTTTATGACAATAAGAAAGCACATCCTGTTTTTGTGGTCTTTGATTACGATATATAAGTGATTAGATTTGATTGTGCTGTGTGTATTGTAAAGTGCCATAAAATTATTATTATTATTGTTATTATTATTATTTCAAGATCTTCAAAGATACATTGCAATCCGCAAAGACTGCCATATCAATAAGGAGGTACGTTTTTGTTTTGTTTTAGATCACAAATAACAATGACTGGGCGGTTAGCTTTCATTTTTCTGTCTGTGTGTATTGCAACGTCCCATAAAATTGTGACAGGTCCTATCTCCGTAACTGGGTCTGGGTGGTGTTCATACCAATTATTATTATTATTATTATTGTTATTATTATTATTATTATTATTATTATTATAATTTCCTTTGATCTCTGGCGATTACATATTTCTTTCCGGGTCCCGCCCAGGGACCTAAGGTCAGAAATGGCATCATAACACTTTCCACTGACAAAAAAAAAAAAAAAAAAAAAAAAAAAAAATTGCATAGATAAAGCCCTTCGTAAAATGTGGGCTATACTTGTCAGAACAATTTTTGTATCTCTTTGAGGCATTGACTTCCAGGAATCCCTTCAATTAGTTTACTGGAATCTTTTCCAACTAATCCTAGGGCTCCAACTACAACAGAGATTTTTGATGTTCCCATATGCCACATTTTTGAGATTTCTATTTCAAGGTCCTTGTATTCTGACAGCTTTTTGAATATCTTCAAAGATACATTGCAGTCAGCAGGGAGTGACATATCAATAAGGAGACAAGTTTTTGTTTGTGGTCTTTAAGAACAATGTCTGGGCGGTTGGCTTTGATTGTTCTGTCAGTGTGTATTGTGTAGTCCCATAGAATTGTAACAGGTCTTATCTCCGTACCCGGGTCTGGGTGGTGTTCATACCAGTTTCTTACAGTTTCCTTCCCGTAGAAGTTGCATATTTTCCAGTGCATATATTGGCCCACTCTGTCATATGAGAAAATGCTGTAAAGAGAATTGATGAAAATAAAACGAAACGTTCAAAATGGCCCAGTTGAAAAAAACAAACAAACTGTAAATTTATATTTTTCAGAGGAAGTTGGGATACTTTTCATTCACGAGAATGATGGAGTAGAATGGACACAATATATGATGAAAATGTTGCAAAATGAACCTTACAAAATACCATGCCTCTCTACGATTTGTTGGGATCTGAACGAAGAATTGACGCAAAGATCTCTGGTGTTGGCGTTAATATTTACCCCGAAAATGGAAAATAAATATTCATCGATGAACTTTGACCTCCTGCAACCGAGCTCGAAACACAGTTGCCTTATCGAATGCAATGGACAAGTGAGCAAAACGGACATGCCCGAATGGAGGTCAATGTATACACTAGAGGAAACTGCGGAAAGTCAGAGGGCTGTGTTGACAGGGCTGATTGACATGTACGAAAAAGTCAGCGGGAACGAAGACAGTGTCAATGTTGATACAGACGATGTACTGATCCGGGATTTGATCCCGGCTGTATTATATCCGGTAAGTTTATTTATTTAATTACTATTTCTTTACTCTATATGAGTTGATTTGCAAATAAGAATGAAAATAATTGAGTGATTGTTTCTCATCGTTTATCAATCTTTTGCAGATTATTTAATGCTGGCAAACATTTTTAGATTCTCAGAATTTTTTCCATAAAACTTTGAGTAACGTATTTTGACATTATTCTGTTATTAAGTTGTCACGTATGAAATGGCACATTTTCTGCTTGTTGTTCCTGTCGTCTAACGAAGTAACATTAGTCTAAAAAAATCTTGACTTATTCCCGATTTTTTTCTTTCTTCATAATTTTTCTTTCAATGTATTATTACCCATAAGGCCAATGAAATCATTACAATGAAACAATGTCGAATAATCAAAATGTATAAGTACAAACTGGGGAAAAGAACCATTTTTGCATCGAATCATTCCATGCGATGAGAAATGGATATTCTTTGACAACAATAAGAGAGTAGGCCAGTGATTAGATGCATGTAAATCACCAAAACAATACCACAAACATCCACTGCACCTTAAAAAGTTAATGGTTACTGTATGGTGATCTTTCAAAGGAGCTATCCATTATTCGTTCTTGCCTGGAGTGAAAACAATAACAGAAACCTCGTACTGAGTATATGCACGAAAAATTGAAAAAGAAACATGCTAGACTTGTGAATAGGGATGGATCAATTTTTCTATATGAAAATCTACAGACGCACACTTCTCAATCAACTGTTCAAAAGCTGCATACCCTGGATTATGGGACTTTGCCACATCCCCCAAATTCAAATTATATATCTCCTACTGATTATCAATTATTTAAGTATTTTGAGCTTTTCATACGCAATAAAAAAAATTTCGCTTGAAGATGGAACAGAGCTTGGTACTTTAATTCAGTTTAATTCAAATAATTATATTGAAGTTTTCGGCTCTTGTTTTGAAACATGAGAACTCTTATGTTGCGATGGAATCATATTTTTAAATAAATAATTATATTTAGGCTCTACTTTTGTATCGAGCACTGTTTTTTAAAAAATAATAACAAAAATACTTTGGATTATTTACCTAAAGATTTCTTTCCTATTTTCTATATATTTTCACACACACACACACACACACACACACACACACACACACACACACACACACACACACACACGCACGCACGCACACACATATATATATATATATATATATATATATATATATATATATAATATTATTAGTACAATTATAACAAGTCTGCTCTTCAGAGATCAGAAATTTATACAATCACAATATTATATCAAGTAACGGATGTTTATATTATTTTATTAATATTATAATTATAATCTCTCTCTCTCTCTCTCTCTATATATATATATATATATATATATATATATATATATACTTAGGCAGCATATCTTCATTCAAGCACGTTTCATTGAATAATATAGAGATATTATAGCTATTTATTTTATAATAATCCTTTCTAGTTCTCTTGATGTTAAGTTGAAATTTATCAAGGAAGGCATCGTAGTTTTTTTTCTTATTCCAAGCTCACTTCATTAAATGAAAGACTTAGGTATATCCCAGTATATGAGAGGTCAGTGTTCAAGCCCAGCTAAAATCCAAGTATTCAGTCACTGAATTTCAAGGGATACTGGAAGATCTTCCACACACCTGGAACTTCAGAAATCTCATCATCCTTCTGTGGATTTGGCCTTGTTTAAACTCATAAATTCTTGTCTGTAAGTAACTTGAAATGAATAAGCAATTTACTTTTTAATCATTTCATCTCAAGCAGGGCAATAATGTCACTAAGACATAAAGCGGCTGCTCGGAGTGAAAGGAAATCTAAATATACTTTAGAAGGAACCAGAAACACAATCCTAAACAGAGAACAAAGGATAAACCTCTACTCCTGTTCAAAAGACTAGGGAAGAGTGTGAACTGGATGATAGGTGTACCCATCTACTCCTATTGAAATAAAATAAATTGTAAATAAAATTTCAGAGTTTAGGTGGAGACATTTGAAGCATAGAGTTGAAGCAGGTTTTAGAAGGGACCACAAACCCAATCCTAAACAGGAAAGAAGGGATAAACCTCTACTCCTGTTCAAAATACAGGTGAGATGTGTGAACCGGACAATAGGGGAACTGTTTATTCAAAAGTGAATATAATTTAGCGTTCCAAATAATAGCTTGAGTGAGATTTTTGTTATGATTAAAATTCTCAAATAATTTCCGAAAAGTATAATTTTAAATTTGATAAGTAACATATGCATACGTAATTTACACATAAATATTTGCTCGAGCAAGGTACGAAGCGAAACAGTGAATCACGGTGTTGTATTTTAATCGTAACGCAGCAATGAAACCCGAGCTTCGATATGCAGACATAAGAGAACGTTATTTTGGAGATTTCCCGGAACGCTGAAATAAATGTAGCCCATATAAATTACTTAATAATTTCTTCGCTTTACGACATATCGAATTTGTAATTTCCACGCTTTATGACTTATTGAATTTATAATTTCCTCGGTTTATGACTTAACAAATTTATAATTTCCTCGCTTTATGACTTAACAAATTTATAATTTCCTCGCTTTATGACTTATCGAATTTATAATTTCCACGCTTTATGACTTATCGAATTTATAATTTCCTCGCTTTATGACTTATCGAATTTATAATTTCCTCGCTTTATGACTTATCGAATTTATAATTTCCTCGCTTCATGACATCGAATTTATAATTTCCTCGCTTTATGACTTAACGAATTTATAATTTCCTCGCTTCATGACATCGAATTTATATCATCCTCGCTTTATGACTTATCGAATTTATAATTTCCTCGCTTTATGACTTATCGAATTTATAATTTCCTCGCTTTATGACTTATCGAATTTATAATTTCCTCGCTTCATGACTTATCGAATTTATATCATCCTCGCTTTATGACTTAACGAATTTATAATTTCCTCGCTTCATGACTTATCGAATTTATAATATCCTCGCTGTGCGACTTATCGAATTTATAATTTCCTCGATTTATGACTTAACGAATAGTAAGAAAAATTAAGGAAGGTGTTTTATAAAAATGAAATAGCCTAGATCAAACTCTTGAAAAGCAAAGTTCTATCATCTTCAATGTGACGTGTATCTTTCGTGCAGTCTTTCTCAACCATTTTTAATTCAAGGCGCACTTGTAGAATAACGAAAACTCTGGATAATTCTCATGGAGGTGATTTTCTCAGATGGTACTGTTATGTTAATAAGCATACACTTCCTGAATGTCGAGTCTTTTATGAAAATATCAGGTCTGTTGGCTTTTATTTTCCCTGTCAGTTTGAATTGGCATGTCCCAGAGGATAGTTACATCGTTATTTTGGGTAACAGCGTCTGGTTGGTGCTCATGCCATCTCTCAATGGTTTCGATTTTGTGCTTCGTTCATATCCTACAGTGCACATATGTCGCTACCCTGTTAGGTCTGTTAGCATATTCATTTTTTGGCTAGTTCTGGACATCCTGAGATAATACTGTCGATAGTTTCATCATATTTTCCGCATATCTAGGGTTACTTCCATTTATTTACTTTGATTATTTGACAGTGATGGGATCTGGTTGCAAGGTTTTGAACATGAGCTGCAATTATTATTATTATTATTATTATTATTATTATTATTATTATTATTATTCATATATTTACAGGTTTATGTTTCGTGTCTGGTAGAAAATGTAATGCTCACACTAATTTTTAAGTGGTGAAATTAAAATTTCACGTAAAAATAATTTTTTGTACTTCCTGTACGTGTACAAAAAACATGACCAATATTTACAAAAACTATATAAATGCAGGACGTTTTGACATTTTTAATAATATCTTTACTGAGCACGAAACAACTTGTAAGTAATTCAGATCGCTAACAGAAACTGGCACCAACGTAGGTTAAGTAGCAAGGCTGGGGAATCTCTGCCCAATGCAGATAAGGTCACTTACAGAAGCCGTACATCACCTAGGAACGTTCTCAGTGATTTCTGAAAATTTTAATATGTGGCAAGTCATATTAGCGTTTGAAAAACTTTTGGGTTTTGGAGGGTTTAGGATTATGGAATTTCGGACAAAGGATTCTCAACCTGTACTTGAAAAATAACTTTTAAATAGTTTTAATCATGACAGCACTTGGAGATTCCAATAGCTGCCACAACAAAAGAATGGAGAGAACATGTAACTTGAAGCGGAAAATAGACAAGATATTAAATTTCCACTTTACCTTAAACAAAAGTTTAGGAAGAAAACTCCCATCAATACTAGAAAGAGATATAACATTTAGTGAACCCTTTTTAAGAGAAATATTTTACAAATTTCTACCACTAACTGTTCGGTCAATGAATACTGAATGTTTCTGTTGTGGTAGGATCCACCTAATTTGCATAGTGGAGTACCGACCATATAAATATGGTTGGTACCGGGAAGAGAGGGAGGAATCAAGAGATTCAACCAGAGACTCTGCCCAACTGCGACTCAGTCAACACATTCTCCAGGAACGGTCTTCCCAAGAATATACAAAAGACTATATGTAAATATTGTGTACACTTTCTTGTTTCAATACATTTTGTTCTAAGTACATTTTGTGTTGCATTATTATCCCATGCATTAATCAAGTTTCAACAGTTTCCTTATAAGGAAAAGTCTGATCTAACTATTACCATTTCAGTGTCAAAATAAGATATATGTTATTTAAAAATATGAAAGAGAAAGCTGAGGTCACTCTTTTCTAAACGAGTAATTAGGCACAGGTGAATATACCAAATCTCGATGTCTTTGATATGTCAGATCAATGATTAAAAATAACTTGAAGCAAATAAATACTTTCTGTTTTAAAAATGACCCTTCATCAGACTCTATAGACCAGCGTTTAAACTTTTTTCATTCATGACCCCATTTTTCATGACAAGATTTTTTTTCTACTCCAGGGAGGAACCAACAACACTGAAAACACATTTGTTATCACTACACAGGAGGCAACGGCCCCGCACGCGCGTTTTATTACCACAGGGCTTGCGTGGCGCATCACGTTAAATATTGAGCGTTTGTGGAATAACATAGAAACTGTAATTCAAGGGTTTGAATTTTATTTTCGCGACCCTAGCATTTCGCTTCAAGACCGCATTCGGGGTCGCGATCCTAGCATTGCGCATCGAGACCGCATTCGGCGTCGCGATCCTAGCATTTCGATTCGGGACCGCATTCGGGGTCGCGATCCTAGCATTGCGCTTCGAGACTGCATTCGGGGTCGCGATCCTAGCATTTCGATTCGAGACCGTATTCGGGGTCGCGACCCGTAGTTTAAGAAGCGCTGTTATAGACTGTCAGCATAAGATCGCAAAGAGTTTTAACTAATAACAAAAATTACATCATTTGAAGACTTCCAGCGGCAATAACAATTAAAATGAAGAGCACATCTAACTAGAAGTGAAAGATTAATGATATAATCAAGATGTTGACTTTTACACTAAGGTAAAGAAAAGTCCAACACGCAATCCGCTAATGGTCCGCTGGCGAGCCGCCGATGGCAACGCTAGCGGTCCCCTAGTGGCGGCTATCCCACCAATAGTAATATTGTCAAGACGAACACGCAGTCGGTCCGACAGCGGGCCACCAGATTGGTGGTTTGCATGTAGGGAAGTTAGGAAGGAAACTCACACCAGTACTAGAAAAAGCGATAACAGTGGGCTTGAATTTCTTGAAGAACTGTTTTTTTTTGTAAAAAACTTTTATAATTTCAACTAACAATAACGTTAACTGTTTGGTCAATGAATGTTCAATGTTTCCAGAATAAAAATGGCTAATCTGACCATAACCAATCAAAGAAATTAACTCGAAAAAAATAAAATGCGCTAAATTCACTGTTAAAGTGTAAGATGATTTCAAAATGTTTACGCTTTTAACATTATCTTCACAAAAAAAGAAAATATTAATATAAGTAATATTCTGTGTATATTTTCTGAAATGAGATAATAGTAATTATTTATAATATTTGCATTATTAGGACTGTTGTCCTCATCTTTATTGTCATATGCACGACGTTTCGGCCGTGTACACCCCAGCCTTCTTCAGGATCGGTCTATATTTCTGAGATGAGGGCCTCTAACGATTTGCACTACTTATATTATTAAGACTGTTGTCTTCATCTTTATCGTCATATGCACGACGTTTCGGCTGTTGCACGCCTCGGCTTTCTTCAGGATTTGCCTATATTTCTGAGATGAGGTAGTTTAACTATTTGCACTATTTACATTCAGGTGATAAACAATATGTTATGAGGACAACAATACAAATATTGTAATTATAATACAAATATTGTAAATAAATAATACAGTTAGAATTTTATTTTGAATCTTTATTTTAATTATATTTAATGTTCAAGTCTAATTTCCTGAAAAACCTTTTAAGAGGAAAATTTTCTAAATTTTAACCAAGAGCTACACGAGATGATTGGTCAATGCGTTTAATTTTACCCTTATCATTTCAGGGTCAAACCGAGGTATATATTATTTTGAACTATGAAGAGAAAGCTGAGGTCAGTGTTGCATTTGAAGGCCTAACTGAACGATTAGTCACACGGAAATATACCAAGACTGTTCATATCTTTGATATACCCAGTAAGTTGCTTTTCAATCTTTGAAAATATTGAATTGGAACAAAATTCTGTAGTGTTTTTCAATCGGTAACGTTTGAAATCCTGTTTTAGTTTCATAGATGACTGAAATTTATGCCATATATACGTATGCTCTTTAGTTCTGTCGTGTAAGCCGTCCACATGTTTGGTGCGATGTGGTCGTGCAGACTGGCCGACATCTAATCTTGGATCACCATTTTTAAAATGATAAAGTCATATTAATTGATCATGACATAACTGCAGGCACACAATCACAAATCCCCAAATATCTTACACACATTGTAATATCAGAGTTAGACAGCACAAGTTAATAGCTTTGGAAACAGTGTGGAAATGATTTTGGCATCAGTACCAAATAGAATATAATATATTTGACTAACAATTACAATCGTCAAACTAAACAACAACATTAAAATAATTATCGTTACAATTCCATGTTTAACCGTAAAAAATGAAAAGCTTGGAGGATAGGCAGCACTTGTAGGTGAGTTAGTAAACGACTGGGAGGTTTGGAGAGGACTGATAAGAGATGATTCCAAATTTCCTGAAGATAAGAAATTACAATATTTTGCAGCGGCCTTCATGTCGAAATGGCAACGATAATAAATATATAATAGCATACATATTCTGAAATTTGACACATTAAGACATCTTTCTCTATGATTTGGGTACTTTTTAAAAAATATTTAAGGTGTGTACGTTAAAAAGTAAAAGTGAAGGAGAATGAAATAAATTTCATTGTTTGATGCTCCTTCATTATCGGAAAGGAAGAGAATTGGTAAAAGCAGCAAAGATCATGTGTGCCAATTTGGTGATGGTGCCAAAGCTGATAGTAATGTTTGCGAGATATTTATGAAATAATGTCAACGTAGGGAGTAACTGGAATAAAATTATTATACTCTACTAATCATTTTTATTTGCCAAATCAAAATTTCAAATGATGGATTTTCCTCGATTCGAAATCAAACACACGCATCTCTCACCGGGAGAAAATTGTTAGTTTATCAAACAGGAGGCGGGTATTTTTTGCTATTTGTTTGCATATTCTCTCAATATAATATATTGTTTCTTTATAAATGCGAGATCCATTAAATTCAATAAATGTTACAACTATATTTAAAATCTATTAATGTATCTTTATATATTTATTTAGTTTTAGTACATTAAGTCTGAACAGTATAATTTTTCTTCCTTTGTTTCTATCTATGTCAGTCTGTTTACATCTATCTATATATCTATCTCTCTGGACATCTAACTCTATCTTTCGTTATGTTATCTATCTATCTATCTATCTATCTATCTATCTATATATATATATATATATATATATATATATATATATATATATATATATATATATATATATATATACATCTCACTCTATCTTTCGTTGTTATTTATCTATCTATCTTTCTATCTATCTTTCTCTCTCTCTCTTCTATATATATATATATATATATATATATATATATATATATATATATATCGACATCTCACTCTATCTTTCATTATCTATCTATCTATCTATCTATCTATCTATCTATCTATCTATCTATCTGGACATCTCACTCTATCTTTAGTTATGTTATCTATCTATCTATCTATCTATCTATCTATCTATCTATCTATATATATATATATATATATATATATATGTGTGTGTGTGTGTATAGACATCTCACTCTATCATTCGTTGTGTTATATATACATACACATCTCACTCTATCTATCTATCATCTATCTATCTATCTATCTATCTATCTATCTATCTATCTTTCTGTCTATCTTTCTCTCTCTCTTTCTCTCTCTCTCTCTATATATATATATATATATATATATATATATGTGTGTGTGTGTGTGTATAGACATCTCACTCTATCATTCGTTGTGTTATATATACATACACATCTCATTCTATCTATCTATCTATCTATCTATCTATCTTTCTCTCTCTCTCTCTCTCTCTCTATATATATATATATATATATATATATATATATCGACATCTCACTCTATCTTTCATTATGTTATCTATCTATCTGGACATCTCACTCTATCTTTAGTTATGTTATCTATCTATCTATCTATCTATCTATCTATCTATCTATCTATATATGTATATATGGACATCTCTATCTTTCGTTATGTTATCTATCTATCTATCTATCTATCTATCTATCTATCTATCTATCTAGTTCTGCAATGCAATTATGTTGAGTTCTTGCTTTGTGATATTAACAGAAGGACAAACGGGACAGAAATACGTCAATATTTTCGTTGGCGATCAAGAAGATCCCATTATTTCGACGAATATTACAATTCTCACAGCTTCCAACATCATTGAAAGTCTTACATACAATCTACGGAGAATTTTATACTCATCGAATTCCAATGATATGAGGACATTAAGTGGTAAGCAGAAACTCTGTCTCTTTAATAACCTTTTATATTTCAATGAACTTCGAACAAAAACGGGCTTCCTTCCTGCTAAGAAACTGTCCTGAAATGTTGGTCCCATTGATTATCTCAATTTTAAAACTACTTACATACTAAAATAATTAATCAAATTACATTAATGAAAGCAAAAATAAATAACCAAATTAGATTTTTGAAAATAAATTTATAATTTACAATAATACAAATGAATGATTTATATTAATGAAAATAAATAAATCTTTTACATTGAGATAAATAAATAACATTATTGAATAGAAATAAATAAAATTGCTGAAAATAAATATATAATTTCGTCTTCTTATGTGCCGTGTCCCTTTCAGGACATAGGCGACTATGGCCCTCCATATCTTCCTATCCCTTGTAGCTCTTTTTTGTCTTTTTGTTATTTCTCCCAAACCCTGTTCTACAATCCATTTGCTCAAACCCGTCAAGTATGTTATGCGCAGATTTCTTTTGTTTCTCTTTCCCTTCAATCTGTCACGTGAGTTTCAGATTTTCCTAGCCCTCCTTCCTCATTACGTTTTCCAGAAATGTCAAATCCTTTATCCTCATGTTAAGTATAAGTTTCCTTTTTGTTTCCATTTTCTCCAAAACCTCATCGTTGCTCACATGTTCGGCCCATGGTATCTTCAACATCTTTCTGATTAACAATAGTGTAAAAATTTTCCACCCTTTTACCGTTTAAATCGCCACTTCTACTCCAACAGTTTCTTCAAAAATGTAAATGCAACATCAATCGACATCTATCTTTTTGAATTCCGGTTATCTTTTATCCTTTCCTCAATAACCCCGATTCTCTTTTACTTTCACTATCTGTAATACCCTGCTTACTAGTGGCATTCCCGTCCTGCTTGGGGTGAAATTATTAAAAAAAAAAGAAAAAAGAGAAACATGCAAGAAACTCTGAATGACCATGACCCTTCAATCTCTATCTGTGGTAGACCCAACAATTTGTAGACTACATTGACCAACAAACTTGTTGAAAGAGGAGTAGCATATAGTTTTTGGAAGTCAGCACCAAAGAATCCAAAGTTATGGTGAATATCACAAAGAGTAATACCCGTGTCAATATTACCATGAAAAGGAATTCACTGGAAGATGTGCCCAGTTTTAAATATTTGGGAACAATCTTGCATAAAGTTGGTACCTTCAGCTCAGAAATCCGCACACGGATTGATGCACCTATAGCAGCGATGGCCAAATTAACAAGAATATGGAGTAAAACCATCTTTCAAACGAAGTGCAGAATCTACAAATCGTTGATAGTCTCAATTCTCCTATATGGATGTGAAACGTGGACGCTGTTGGCAGAAACAGAGAGAAGGATAGAAGCGTTTCAGGACAAATGTATGAGAAAACTCCTTGGCATTTTCTATTAGGAACATAAAATCAGTGAGTTTGTGTGGAAAAGGGTTGAAAAGGGTTTTATGGGCCACCAGGAACCTCTTCTCGCCGTTGTCAGAGAAAAACGGCGTGATTTGGACACATTACAAGGCATGAGAACCTGTGCAAGACCATCATGCAAGTCACCGTTGAAAGTGGACGTAGGAGAGGACGTCAACTCAAAAACCGGTTGGACAATGTCAACCAATGAACAAGTACCAAATTTGCTGACGGCTGCCGTTGATAGACCTTTGTGGAGGAGATTCGATATGCCTTCTGCATTCGGATCCCCATTACGATTACAAGAGTCAAGGGGATGATGATAATGATAACCTTGCTCTCTAACACATAGCTGAGGAGAGGCATTGCTTTTCCTAGAGGCATTAGTAAGTAAGTGAACGCAGACTAAGCCGGAATTTGAACTCTGCTCGCTGTTCCCATTTTTCTTGCAGATAGGAGTTACACTAACCCTCACCAGTACTACTGTTATTACTACTACGGCTATATAATACTACTATTACTACAATTATATAATAAAAATATAATTTTTGCTAATGCTATCAATGGAGCCCAATCTATGTTGGTCACAATGTTTCATTTTTACGGCTATCTGCCAATAGACCTGTTTTAGTTTAGAATTTTTTATTTTTAAAATATATTTCAGGATCTTCCTCCATCGACCCGTTTTCGAAAACGCACTGCAAAGATGCCATATTAAAGAAATTTTGGTCGACCATAAAAGAAATCGAAACGTTGGAATGCAAAGCCGAGGTAATGTAACACTGAAAATTTGGGTTTATAAACTTTAATTCTATCATTCTGCAAAATTGATTATCATAGGAGCGCGTGCGCACACACATACACATATGCATATATATATATTTCATACATTTTCAGGTCACATGGTTGTACACATTAGGGAGGCTCTGCTTATTAAACTTTATCCTCCTACTATCAATCTCACACTATTGGAGTTGGAATTCGAATGGGCGGATTTCCATTTTTTTAAAACTTTTAATACTTCATTACCACTGTTAAATAAGGCGAGATTGATCGTAGGCGAGAGATGTTTAATATACAGGTTCTCACATAGCTAGATGTTTCCGGTAATGTGATTTATATAAATTTTTTTCGATCAGAATTCTTCTTAAGGGTCTTGTAAATTGTGGGTAAATAGATGTAGTTTTAAGTATGATGAGTGACACTTGAGGCGTCCACTCAAGTAATTGATTTGTGACAAGGTGCAAAGGATAAAGTGTCACCATTTTATATTTTAAATTTAGCGCATGCGCGTTGCTTTGTTTTTGATTTTGTCGACTGCACAGTATAGTAGGGTCAGTTGGGCAACATCTATAAAAAAAATGAGCACACTGTTAAAAGTCACTCCGGTAGAAATTTGGAAACGGCATGCTGTACTGCTTGGCATTTGCGCCGGGATCTCCAATACGGACATTTAAGTAGTGTTTGGGTGTCAATCTAAGGACAGCGTATAAGGTTCGGAAAGAGTTGGATGTGTCTAATGGTACTTACGATCGTACTGATAAGAAAAGTACTTCCGAATATTTTGGTGGGAGTGTCAGACTCAATACGGAGGCTTTGAGGAGGTAGAACTACCCTGGGTCTTGAGGGTAGCCCCTGGAAGACCTTATGTCTGGGAACAGGATTTTGCATCATGTAACACAAGCAGGAGAGGTTATTCTTGGCTGTCAGATAATTTCTGCGACGACATCACTCCTTGCATTTAGCGATCTAATTCACCAGACTGCACCCCCTTGATTATTATGTGTGGGGCGTAGTTGAGTATGAGACCCACAAAACTCCTTTTAACACCAAAGACGAACTAAAGGCAAGAAATATGTCAACATTGACCTACTATAGCGAAGAAAACGGCGACTTACCTCGTCAAACCAAGCGACAGCGCGTCGCGTGTATTCTACGACGGAAAATGTGTCGAAAAAGAAAATTACTTACCAAACAAAAGAGGACGTATTCCGCATGACATGCTGAAGATGGAATATTTGAATTAAAAAATTTTGATAAAAGCAGTTGGTGTTCTCGAATCGGGGGAGCAAAATTCGGGTATTTTGGCTACCACGTTTGTTGAAGAATGAGTTATTTTTCAGACTGGTTGCATGCATTGTTATTCGTGCGATAGTACCTGCGAATCGAGTTTTCAACATTTCTTTCTCCCCCACCTCCGATGTTCGAGTCTGAACTTAGTGATTTATTATCTGTGACGTGTAAATAATCTGCGACAAATATTTCCTTTGTAATCCCAGATCGCTTACACCTACTTAAACATGGAGACCGTCTAGAAGTGTCGCAGGAGGACGTGGTTAAAACCAATGGAGATTATGTTGAATAAATTTACATTTTAGCATATCAAGATGTTTTTGTGTAATTTGGGTAAATATGTCTAATAAAATGAGATGTCAGTGTATATTTTCGTTTTTGCGAAATTTAGACAATTTATCAATCGCACTATATATATATATATATATATATATATATATTGAAGAATCGGAGAGCCGAGTTCGAATTCCAGTCGAATCCATTACATTCACTTATGTGCTAATATCCTTGGGAAAGGTGTGAATCCTCTTCTCCCTTTATGGGTAAATAGCAGGACAGACTGTGTTCTATAGCCTTGGATGGCAACTGGTCTAGGAGAAGGACAACTCTGAATTCAAAATCTGAGAAGAGTCGTAGTGCACCAGGTCTCTGTATTCGTTTCTTCAAAGAGTGTGGATGGTCTTGCACGAAACCTTCACCACTATAATCAAATCTCATGTGTTGTTGTTGGGCTGTCGGTTTCCTAGGACCTGATCTGCTTGACCCTCATACGTTGGATTCGACAGGAGAGTCGAGTATAGATAAGTATGAGGTCATCAAAGTTTGTCGGGCTCATTACAATCTTTAACAAAATATACTATTGCTATAACTTAGATGCTAAAAAGCTTATTTTAGTCCAAGTAAAATATATAATTAAAAAAAAATCTCTGTACATGAAATAAAAAAACACGTTTTTGTATTTTAATATTAATTGTAATAATTCTATAAAAATAAACTTTTATTTTAAAATATTTTACCAGACATGTGAGAAAAATGAGTGAGGACAAAGGCTTTGATATGTTTATCTGTTTATTGTCCGCTTTCCATTTTCTATTGATTTCTATCATAGTTATCAAGTCACTGATGGTAGAAATAGTTAACTGATATCATATTTCCTCAACACTTTCCCAGTCACATTCCTCACCCCAACTCTCAAGTTGACGTATTAAATTTGCCACTTTTTTGATTTTCGCTGATTTAAGTCGGGCTAAATTTAATTTGCTCTTTGTCAATTGAGTAGGAACACCCCTTCAGCAAAAAAAAAACACAGCCCCTCCCCTAAAAAAACCTAAAACGAAGAAATTAGTAAAAGAAAAATAATTAATAGTAGTGTATTTACAACGTATTCAGAATTTAAAAATAATTCTGTACTTGAAAATATTATGTAATTTTTCTTGCAGAATCCGAAATTCAAGATGCCAGACCAAGTAGAAGATGAGCCGAAAGTAATCAAAACGGAAGCAGAAGACAACGAAGGTGGATATGAAAAAAATTCTTTTCGCTTGTTTGTTATGATTCTAGAAATGAAAAAAAAATCATGGTTAGCCATAATTTCCTGTCGTTTGCAGATCTTAATCAATTTTGTCTTTTCGCTGTGATTACCAAAATCGGCTCCCCATGCATTCAGTCAAGCTCAACAAGTAGATTATGCGTTGTTTTTCTCTGCCTCTCTTGCCGTCCATCTTTCTTGTGAGTATCAAATTTTCCAAGCACTCTTTGCTCATTATGTGCCGTAGAAATTTCACCTGTCTCTTCTTGATGTTAATTATAAAAGCCTTATGTTTCTAGTGTCATTAAAACTTCAACATTGCCCGCATTGTTCGGTTCATAGTATTCTCAACATCCTATTGTAAAATCACATTTCTGTTCCATTTTCATTTGTGAGGAGATTGTCCAGCATTCACTGCCATATAGGAGGACTGATATAACATAACGGTTCAGTATTGTTTTCTTTGTTTCTAACGAAATATTTATATTTTTCAATACTTTGTTTATCGTAGCTTTTGGAAGGAAGCTTTCGCTATCCCCTGTTAAAACACTTTCTAGCTATTTAAATTTTAGTACTTGTTGGATTTCGGTATCTCCAATTTGTAATTTGCATTTTGGATTGTTCTTATTTTTTCTTGTATTCTGTTTTGCAACTGATGTTTAGCCATTTCTTTTCGCTTTCTTTTCGATAATAATTTTAAATGAAAAGAATTTGGACTGCCGATGGGATCGCCACTTAATGATGTATTAGCCTGTCTTTTTTCTAGAATTTCTAGATGTCGGTCCTTTTAGAAATATTTTAACTAAACAATTCCCGATATAACGATGATGTTCTCTTTGTATATCACCACGGAACAATATCATCTGATTTTATAAATAAACTCTCAACCTTGTATATTCACTTGAAGCAAATAGTAAATTACTGTATCTTGTGTAGATGCTTGACAGAACAAGAATTAGGAGAGATAACGAATAGACAAAATTTACTAAGAGCTACAAAGGCCAGAAAATTTCGGAGAGCTACGATCACGCACGTTCTAAAGGGATATGGCATATAGAAGAAGAAGAAGAAGAAGAAGAGGGGGAGTAGAAGAAGAAGAAGAGTAGGAGGAGGAGAAGAAGTAGAAGAAGAGGGGGTTGAGGAGAGGGAGAAGGGGAGGAGAAGAAGAAGAAGAAGAAGAGGGGGAGTAGAAGAAGAAGAAGAGTAGTAGGAGGAGAAGTAGAAGAAGAGGGGGATGAGGAGGGGAGAAGAGGACGAGAAGAAGAAGAAGAAGGGGAGGGAAGAAGAAGAAGAGTAGGGAGGAGGAGAAGAAGTAGAAGAAGAGGGGGGATGAGGAGGGGGAGAAGGGGAGGAGAAGAAGAAGGGGAGTAGAAGAAGAAGAAGAGTAGGGAGGAGGAGGAGAAGTAGAAGAGGGGGAGGAGGAGGGGAGAAGGGGAGGAGGAGGAGAAGAAGAAGAAGAGGGAAGTAGAAGAAGAGGGGGATGAGGAGGGGGAGAAGGGGAGGAGAAGAAGAGGGGGAGTAGAAGAAGAAGAAGAGTAGGAGGAGGAGGAGAAGAAGAAAGAAGAGGGGGGTTGAGGAGAGGGAGAAGGGGAGGAGAAGAAGAAGAAGAAGAAGGGGGGAGAGAAGAAGAAGAAGAAGAAGAGTAGTAGGAGGAGAAGTAGAAGAAGAGGGGATGAGGAGGGGAGAAGGGAGGAGAAGAAGAAGAAGAGGGGGAGTAGAAGAAGAAGAAGAAGAGGAGGAGGAGAAGAAGAAGAAGAAGAAGAGGGGATGAGGAGGGGAGAAGGGGAGAAGAAGAAGAAGAAGAAGAAGAAGAAGAAGAAATATCATTTTAACCTGAGTAAAGATGTCTTATAAAATTTGACACTGACAGGATATATTGAAGTACAGAGGGACAGAGGAAAGCAGCGAATCGTCTGCATAACGAGCTTGTGCAAATCATTGGAGATTAGGAGAGATAGTGAAAAGACAAAATTAACTACGAAAGATCGGAAGTTATGGAGGGCTATGATCGCCCACGTCCTGAGGAGACACGGCACACAGAAGAAGAAGATATCATTTTCAACTGCACTGATAATGATCCAAACTTAAACGCTCACCGGAAATCCATGACAAAAAATGACCTCATAATCATCTGCTCATACCGCAACAACAAAATAAAAATAAGAATCATTGGTTTCTACTAAATAGCTTTTAGCTTTCAATATTTACACGATGAAAAGAATACATTGAAAATAATTTTAAACTCCTTCAATATCATCATTATTTCATACTGGCCTAGAAACCGAGCTTCGGGAGGACTTTAGGCGATTTTCTGCGGAGAACTTTTTGGGCCTTCGGCCTTTTACCTTCAGCGTCCTATTTACGTAAAAGTTATAAGAATTTAGAAATAATTAAATTATTTTATCTTTATTCGACACCTTAATTCGGTATAATCTTTCTTCGTATATGCAACTGATCTCCGTAGTTTGTTTACATTAATTTTGCGTGCAATTTTTATTTTCTTTTAAAATCACCATTCTTTATGATCCCTTCAAATAAAGTCATTCTTCTTAAAAGACATTAGGGAACCTGAACTATGTAATATTTCGAATACGTCACAGAACGCGTGCTACAAGAAAAACGATATGAGCAACGTACCGTGCCCCACTTAGGTTTTAATTACGGTTTAATTAGACGATATCAATTAAAATTGCGAAGAAAAGCGAAATTAAAGTTAAACCTTTAATAAAGAATTGATTTTTAAAACTTAAACTGTGTTCAATATTTAAATTTAACTTTAAATAAATTATTTGTTTATTTTTTAACTGCGTGTAACTACAGTAGTTACTACCTGTTACTTCAGGTTGTTTATGATACGCTGTGATCGAACAACGGACGGACGGACACACGTACACTGCGCTTTATTTATATAGATATAATTCAATAAGCTAGATGCAACCGACTCTTGTATTCTAACAGTTTCTTTTCTCGCACTTCTCGACTGTGGAACTTAGTTTCGAGAGAGTTTAAATGCAACGTGTCAATTCTTTTCCTGAACTGGGTTCTTTTATTTTTTCCTTTTCCTCACTTCTCCCCACCAAAGTCTTCTCATTCCCGTTCACCTCCCTGCTTCAGGGGGCATTGCTTGGGATGAAATGATTAAAAAAAAGAAAAAGAAAAAAGGTTCACAGAGAAACCATTACGAAAAATGACATCACAAACTTTTTACTCACACCCCAACAACAAAATAATAATAATAATAATAATAATAATAATAATAATAAAAACATTATAGGTTTCTGTTTAATAGCATTTAGAATCTGTAACTCTCATTGATGAAGAAATACACTGAAAGTAATTTCATGTATAACGCGAAGAGGAAAGCTTACAAAACCCACATAAACAACAAAGAAATAAATAGATAAAAAAACTAGCCCCACTGGATAACAACGAAAATTGAAAAGAACAAGTGTTAAATTATTTATTGATTGATATAACATTAAGTGTTCTATTGAAATGAAATTTTATTTGGAAAAAAGTTTTCATTTCCAACGTCAATCGCCATCTTCTCTTTGCCAGGATCCTGTTCCTTTATTGCAAGTTCTGTTGCAGTGTTTTGTGTATGTTATGTAACTAGTGAGCTAGCCCAAATGACTTGAATCACTTTTTAGTTCACCAATAGAAGGTTAACCAATCAGAAGACGTAGAATATTCAATCCGTCGTGTATAAAGGCCGCCATTTTGTTCATTCTACCCGAATGTCCAGTCCAGCTTGTCAGGCGAAGAGGAACAGAAGGAATAACTACGCTCTGCTACTTTTTACCAAAATATCCACTGCTAACCTGAACAACACTTTCCTACTGTCTTCGAAATATTCACTGCTAACCTCTGGATTCTATACTCGAAGACGACCGTCATCATGAACAACAAGTTCCTCACTTATCCTCACTAAAGTCTTCTCTTTTGCTTTCATTTCCTGTACCATCTGCGTCTTAGAGGCATTATCGCCTTGCTTGTGGTGAAATTATTTGCAAAATCATATGTACCTTCAGCAACTTTTGGGAGTAAAAAATTGAGATCATAATTTAATATATTTCTACCGATAACTGTGGTACACTTTACTCTTCTAGACGTCACTATAATGTTTCAATGATCTTCTGGTTTCTGGCTCAAGTAGTTGTAAATTACAAAGCTTGTTTAGTTTGGCTCAAGCGCACTGGGATTAATTCTACCCACACCACCACAACAAAATCAAAGGTTTTTATTAAATAGGATTTAGAGGTTGTAGATCGTAATATTTACACGATGAAAAAAAAGATATAATGAAATTAATTCTAAACTCCGCCAATACCGTAATTATTTCATATATAATGCGAAGAGGAAAGCTTACAAGATCGACAAAACCAACAAAAAAAATAGCATAAATAAGCCTGATGAAAAATAGTCCGACTGGATAACAACGAAAACTGAAAATAGCAAGCCTAAAGTTATTTACTGATTGATATAATATTAAGTGTTCTATTGAAATGAAACTTTATTTGAAGAAAGCTTTCTTTTTCAGCTTCAATCAACATGTTCTGTTTGCCTGGTTACTTTATAGTCCGTTATTCACTTATCTTCGCTAAAGATTTCTCTTTCACTCCTTATAACCCCTTATGTCTTAGTGGCGTTATCTCCTTGCTTGTGTGTGTTTGTGTGTGTGTGTGTGTGTGTGTGTGTGTGTGTGTGTGTGTGTGTGTGAAATGATTAACAGAATCATACCGGTGTTCAAAAACTTTTGAGAGTAAAACGTTCAGACCCTGATTTAATATATTTCTACCGATAACTGTGGTGTACTTTCCTGTTCTAGACTTCATTTTAATGTCATTGTTACAACGATCGTTTGGTGTCTGGCTCAAGCATTTCTAAATTGTAAAGCTAGTTTAGTTTGACTCAAGTGCACTGCTATAAAATCCTCATAAATAACAAAGAAGATAGCACAAATAAACCTGATAAAACTAACCCCACTGCACAATAATTATAACTGAAATTATAACTATGGGAAATTAATTACTGGTTGATATAAGCTTAAATGTTTTATCGAAATGAAATTTTATTTGAACCAAATTTTCCTTTTCTTATGAAAATGTTTCTTATTATTTTTCAGTTCATCGAAGAAAGTCAAAGAAAACGGTAAATAACTTAATAACTTGGTTAATATTTAGTTGCTTAGTTTTTAACTGCAATGTGGTAACCTTAAAAAAACAAAAAAAACAAAAGAAGCTACCTTATTTCTGCAACATCTACCCTTTTATTTATTTTTAAATAAATTTTCCTGTTTCTCAACACTTTGGAAGGCGTCTCTCACTAGCCCAATGCCTCTTCGGATTTCAGTGTCACACTTTCCCCCATCTCTTAAAAACATTTCCAGATATTTAAATTTTCGTACGCTTACCTTTTTAACTCTCGTGCAAATCAAACCTACGTTTATCGTGTGCAAACAAAACTTACACATACCTTGAGTCTCGTGCAAAATGGATCTACACCCTTGTGAAAAAATAATTGAAACAACCCCTTTAGTTTCACGATACGGTCTGTCTTAGATCCGCTGGTGTGAAGGGTGTGATCATTTTCTATTTTTGCCTCAAATTAAGTCATTTGCAATGGTATGTAGTGATATGAAAACAGTACAAATGTTAAAACTAATTAAATAAAAATGTCTGGTCATTCGTATACGAGGATGCTAGTCTACTAGGTCGGCTAGCTAATCCCTGTTTTAGACGCCTGCTCAGACACATTTGTGTTTCTTTAACACCCACATAGCCCAACGGAGGTTTATATTGCAACTATGCTGAGTGGATCTTAGTTACAGTTTCTGGGAGAGAGCGCCTTATCTAGCGTGATCAACAGTCTGAGCAAGTCCAGCACTCTTAAACCCTCGGTCATGATGACTTGTAACTTTGTGCTTGCGCAACCTTCGACGATAAGTTTCGTCTACCTAATTTCACTCACAAGACTTTGGTCAACCCATGGCATTATTTTCGGGCACTTTCCAAATGTGCTGCACGCCTCCCGAAAGCCGGTAATATCAAGAAGTCATCTTTGGGACAAATCGGCTATGGTGAGATTTGAAGCCAGATCTCCTGGCCAGAAAGCGTAATATCTAACCACGTACCCATTAAATCTAAATATGCATTGCGATATTAACCAAGCTGCCATTTAACGTTACTAATAACATCCCAAATAATTTCTTGTTTCATTTTCTCATTTCGTCATTGTTCTTTGCAGAATATATTTAGAAGCATGTTACAGAAAGTATTTGGAAACAGATCATCTGTCTATGACATAAAATTGCAAAACGTAAGTGGGATAAATATTTCAGTTAATATTTATTTAGTTTCTATATTCTTGCATCTTCTGAAATATCTATCATTACTTACGTTCATTATCTATTTACATATCTATATTTCTGGGATGAATTATTCTACTTATTTACACTATTTACATTGTTCGGAATGCCGTACTCATCTCTGTCGCCATACGTCCTGGGTATGACAATAAACTAAGACGATAAACTACGTCCAACAGCAAGGCCTCTGATCAGGAGGTTTTGAGGAGCGTGGAACCACCTCTTAATTGCTGGTGTTCCCAGGTCCACCCTTACCCGGGGTGGTAGCACCTTTTAGGGTTCCAGCTATGGGAAAATAGTTAACCCCCAAACTGGGGTCAAAACACTGTGAAAGTTGAAAAATAGGCTTTAATACCAGAAACAATTTGTAAAGAATTATTGCCAACAATGGATTTTTGAAGAGATTATTACCAGCAATATATTATTAACAGCATTACATTTTTGGAAAAAAAAATATTACCAATTATACATTTTTGAAAGAAAAGAGTATTACCAGAAATAGATTTTTTGAAGGAAATAATATTACCAGAAATAGATTTTTTGAAGGAAAAAATATTACCAGAAATAGTTTTGAGAAAAAAAAATATTGCCAGCAATAAAAATTTAAAAATAACCGATTGAGGTTGATATGCTGTAAAACAAATCAAACCAAAACAAACCAAACCATATCCATGACGTTTCGACAGTTGTACTCTCCGGGTTTCTTCACGTGATTGGAATTTCGAGACGAACCCTTTATTTCATCCAATGAGGTAGATTGTTCCTGTTCCACGTACGTCCGGATATCTCAGCATCAGTTAACTCTTTTAACTCAACACTCCAAGTTTTTGTAGCCAGGTATTGAACTTACAACTATTTGGGTTAAACCACTGGATTCAACCAACTGGGGCATGTGTCCGTTAGGACATTATCTATGAAGTTTTGGGACTTGTAAACCTAATGTCTCATTTTTTAACCAAAGCTCATATTACAATTGTGTAATTGTTCTTTTCTAGCCCTTCCTATTACTGGTACTCATGTCTATGTTTGGCCGGCTTAGGAGATGTTTGTGGCCTAGCATATGTGCTGAATCCTTAAGTTTTCGTATTTTCTAGTGACTTTCTCTGTCTATTATTTCAACCTCATCCTACAAGTGGCGGTGATCTCTCTTTTGGCATCATATGTGGTCAGCCACGCCTGATTCTTCTACAGTCCTTAATTATCGGAAAAAACACGAAACTTATGTGGTCAATATAACATCTGGACGACCTTCCAAAGTGGTTCAACACTTTGCAGACACGTCTTCCGAGTACGACCTCCCATAGAGGAGAACATGATTAAGGACTGTCTGTACGCCATCCCATGCGGCCGCAGTAAGAAATATAAAGGAAAAAGAAGCGCCCCCTCTTAATATAAGACTTCAGGAACCGTAACACGAGGGAAAATAGAAAAATCAGGCGCCTCTTGTAGAATGAAGTTGAAATACTAGACAGAGGATACTACTGGAAAATACGAAAACTTAAGGAATCAGCACATATACTAGGCCACAACAATCTTCTAAGCTGACCAAACATAGCCATGAATACAATATGAGTACCAGTAATACGGAGTGCTAGGAAAAAAGAATATACAATAATAACAGTAAATTATAATATGAGCTCTGTTTAAAAGATGACTAAGACATTAGGTTTATAAGTCCCAAAAATACATACACTGATGGTCTAGTGAATAAAAGCGTTGGTTGAATGCAGTGTCTTAGCCAGATACCTGGCTACAGCAAAGGTGAATAAAAACTTGTCGACTTAAAAGGTGATAACTGATACCAAGATATCCATGGAAATAGAACAATGCACCTCTGTTCGAAATACCAATCACTTGAAGAAGCGTACCGCAGCGTACAACGGCCGAAACGTCATGAATATGGCCACAGAAATAAGGACAAGAGTCCGAACAATGTAAATAGTCTTATCTATCTATCTATCTATCTATCTATCTATCTATCTATCTATCTATCTATCTAGTCTTTTCAGTTTATCACTATATGTTCAATATCTATATATGTAGTCACCTCTCTTTATCATTCTATATGTTCATTATTTATCTCTCTATCAGTGTGTTTTTATCTATCTATCTATCTATCTATCTATCATCAATTTTTATTATCTATCTTGCTATAACTAGACACCTCACCCTATCATTCGTTATGCTATCTATCTATCTATCTATCTATCTATCTATCTATCTATCTCCTAATGTATAATTGGTAAATAACTGAACCCTTTTTCGTCCTTTCATAGAAAGTCCAGGAGGATTTTGATGGCAATATAGCGACCAATTCTGTTTACATCTATCTATCTATCTATCTATCTATCTATCTATCTATCTATCTGGACATCTCTATCTTTCGTTATGTTATCTATCCCAGCGTATTCCTATCTATCTATCTATCTATCTATCTATCTATCTATCTATCTATCTATCTAGTCTTTTCAGTCTATCACTATATGTTCAATATCTATATATGTAGTCACCTCTCTTTATCATTCTATATGTTCATTATTTATCTCTCTATCAGTGTGTTTTTATCTATCTATCTATCTATCTATCTATCTATCTATCTATCTATCTATCTATCATCTGGTTCTATCATCCTATATTTTTTTTATCTATCTAGCTATAAACTGGACACCTCACCCTATCATTCGTTATGTTATCTATCTATCTATCTATCTATCTATCTATCTATCTATCTATCTATCTATCTATCTATCTGTTCATTATCTACCTCTATGTCAGTGTGTTCCTATCTATCTATCTATCTATCTATCTATCTATCTATCTATCTATCTATCTATCTCCTAATGTATAATTGGTAAATAACTGAACCCTTTTTCGTCCTTTCATAGAAAGTCCAGGAGGATTTTGATGGCAATATAGCGACCAATTCTGTTTACATCTATCTATCTATCTATCTATCTATCTATCTATCTATCTATCTATCTATCTATCTATCTGGACATCTCTATCTTTCGTTATGTTATCTATCTCAGCGTATTCCTATCTATCTATCTATCTATCTATCTATCTATCTATCTATCTCCCTGATGGATATTTGGTAAATAACTGGACCCTTTTTCATCCTTTCAGAGAAAGTCCAGGAGGATTCTGATGGCAATATCGCGACCAATGCCGACATTTCCTAATCTTCCTCGCAAACGATAATGAATAACGGATGACTGCAAAATAAATAAATCAATATATATGACATTTTAATTTAATAACTGATTATGTTGATAGAAAGTACAATGTTTTAACCTCATTACTTCTGCGACCCCACGTCATATCCTTCTTTTTTTATGTGCTGTGCTTCATCAGGACGTAGGATAACATGGCTCTCCATGACTTCCTATCTATTTTAGCACTTCAATGACTCTACTGGAATCTTTTCCAACCAATCCGAGGGCTCCAACTACAACTGGAATTGTTGATGTTCCCATGTGCCACATTCTTGAGATTTCTATTTCAAGATCCTTGTATCATTATTATTATTATTATTATTATTATTATTATTATATTAGGAATGGCTTTATGACATTTTCACTGATTCTTTTTTTTGTAAAAAAATTAAACAAAAAACATAAGATGACACACATTATTATTATTAATAATTATAATTAATATTATTATTATTATTATTATTATTATTATTATTATTAATAATAATAATAATAATAATGTTATCTGTTATGTTTCCTGCATTGTATTCTGTAAAGCCGGGTCCAAACTATGGTCCTTAGGCACTATAGGAGAACTGTCATTTAACACTTCCGCTGCTAACTACGGAGATATTCGTTTTTCTTATCTTGCTCCAGCTAAGTACGGAAACGTACGTTTTTTGCATACTGCTGGTATGAGAGTCCCGTTGCGCCATCTATCGTAAAATATGGGAAATTCTAACTATCTAATTCTATCATGCAAATTATTAGTCAGCCTCGATTTTTTTCTACGTCATGGTAGGAAAAAGAATTTGAAAATATTCCTGACGAAAATGCGACTAGCATGCGGATGCTCCCAGCGCCCGTGACCGTATGTCCAAGGACACCTAAAATTGATCCTGCCAATCGCCTGGTTGGTGGAATGAAAGCTCATGACTTGGTAGAAATTCCACCAACCAATAAGAAAAGGTACCCTTCCAAGCCATGCAAAGTCTACAAAAAAGCTGGAAAACGCTCAGAAACAAGGTACTTCTACAAAAAGTGTGAAGTCCCGCTCCACAAAAGAAAATGCTTCAAAAGATATCATGTGTAGAGCCATTACTGATCTGGTAAGTTATTCCCAGGTATATCCATGAAAATCGAAGGCTGTAAAACAGACTGGAGCCAGTTTTCTGTGTAATAAAATATGTAGGTTGAAATTTGGCATTTTCTTTTAAAATGGCTGGCCGGATGGGGGCAGTACTGGGAAAATGGGATTTCCATAGTAGGGAGATCTTCTGGGCAACTTCTATGTTTATGTTATCAGGGTCACTGTTAGTAAAATTGTCTATTCCTTTTCTCAAGAGGCCCAGAGCTCCGATGACTATTGATACAATCTCAGTCTTCATTCCTTACATCCTGGTACTCCAAGTTCTTGTATTTAGAGAATTTCTTGATAATTTTCATGTAGGTGTTTCTCTCACATGGTACAGCTCTGCCAATAAGCATACACTTTCAAATATCCCCACTCAATACCCTGTTAAATGACAATTAGATGAACATTATTATTTTGTGTAAATGAACATTATTCTTTTGTACTATACAAATTCTTCTTTTTGTAAACTAATATTTGTGTATACAAATTGTTATGGGGTCCACCCCTTTTTCATATAAGTAGATTCTACCAGTGTACCTGGACTGCTGCCGTTAAATACCCAGTAGTTAGACAGTCAGTGAGAGGGTAGTCGGAAAGAGAGAGAGAGAATACACGAACGGAGATAGTGTGAGGTAACCTCTTGTAGAAGTCAGTTACAAGCACGTAGACACTTAGGATGTCCCAGTTCGAGATTGTATATATCTATCTGTATTTGCTACTAACCGTGTTCCTGGAATTACTAACAGTATTACTCTTTGTATGATTGTGTAAATACATTTTATTTCTTATATTTAATTATTGCGTTTGTTCTTCATTGGAGACCGAATTCATCTCGGAATCCACAACACAAATGAACATATATATTTATCTTTATAATTCGTGCTGGGTATTCTGGGGAGAACAATATTATGTGGAGAGACACCGATAGCGTCGTTCTGCTCCATTTATTTTGTTGTTGAATAAAGCCTCTCTGAAGGTTATTGACGTCTCGTCTTCCTTTATAACATAACCCCTAGAATAATTCGAAAGACAACCGTTAACGGTCACCAAAATAACCGTTAAAATAATGCAAGAGATTACCCACAATGCAATAATATAGACAACCCACAATGCATCACTGACCTGTATATAAAAATAGTCAAGCAAAAACAAAACCCCTCATATGACCCGAGAATGAGTTTAGCATGAAAAAGACTGTCGCTTCTGCATGTTGACTTATGTTCACTTGTGTGTGTTTACTTATATATATATATATATATATATATATATATATATATATATATATATATATATATATATATATATATATATATATATATATATATATATATATATATATATATATATATATATATATATATATATATATATATATATATATATATGTGTGTGTGTGTGTGTGGAGTAATGGATAGCTGCTTGGATTGAGGAATCGGAGAGCCGAGTTCGAATTCCAGTCGAATCCATTACATTCACTTACGTGCTAATACCCTTGGGAAAGGTATGAATCCTCTTCCTCCCCTCCAGCTATGGGTGAAATAGCAGGACAGACTGTGTTCTATAGACTTGGATGGCAACTGGTCTAGGAGAAGGACAACTCTGAATTCAAAACCTGCGGAGGGTCGTTTGGGAACCTTGTGGCATTCGGTGCACCAGTTCTCTGTATTCGTCCCTTCAAAAAGTGTGGATGGTCCTGCACGAAGCCTTCACCCCTATAATCAAATCTCATTGGCCGATGTCGGGCTGTCGGTTTCCTGGAAACTGATCTGCTTGACCTTCATACGTCGAATCTCGATTATATATATATATATATATATATATATATATATATATAGAAGAAAAAGACAGAGACATGGAGAGAGAGATTGCGAAGAGACTTTTATATAATATTTATGCTTTAGAAACGTACAAAAATAATACATTTCAATGCAAAAGTAAGTCTGTGCATTCTACCATGATATGAAAGCAAAAAATCAACCAACCGTTAAAAAGTATACTTTCTAAAAGTCATAGTGTTTGTTTCTTTAGTTAGTTCTTTCGGTTCAGTTTTATGTTTATGCTTCGTATGAGACATCAGTCCTGCTCGGGATTTGCAATCAAATCCACACGAAGGACATACTGAAGGGTTGACCGTCGTATGGGTTGATGTATTAGCCCGAGAATTAGTGTTAATTCTTAATTCTCTCAGATGGTTGAAACGATTCTTTTCAAAGTTAGTTATACTTCGGTGGCAGGTGTTTCTCTTTTTTGCTCGGTTTTCAACAACATTTTTTAACTCCTCTGTATGGATGTTTGCAACAATTAAATTATATATATATATATATATATATATATATATATATATATATGTATGTATATATATATGTATGTATATATATATGTATGTATATATATATGTATGTATATATATGTATGTATATATATATGTATGTATATATATATGTATGTATATATATATATATGTATATATATATATATATATATATGTATGTATATATATATATATATATATATATATATATATATATATATATATATATATCAACAAAAATATTATATCGCCAACATTATCTATCTATCTATCTATATATAACTTCAGGTGGTTGGAATGTCGAACTGAACCCTTTATTTCGCTCACTGGGGTAGACTGTTCTAGTTCCACGTGCCATGTTTAATGGATGTCAGTTATTAGTTATATCCTGTTAATTTTCCCTCTGAAAGTTCTCCACTACCTTAACCGGGTATTGAACCACCTGAAGAAGACCGGAGCGTACAACGGCCGAGACGTTATAATAAATATGGCGACAAAGATGAAGACAATAGTCCGAATAATGTAAATAATGTACATAATACCTCATCTCAGAAATATAGACAGATACTGAAAAGCCGAAATGTTATAATAAATATGGCGACAAAGATGAAGACAATAGTCCGAATAATGTAAATAGTGTACATAATATCTTATCTCAGAAATATAGACAGATACTGAAAAGCCGAAATGTTATAATAAATATGGCGACAAAGATGAGGACAATAGTCCGAATAATGTAAATAGTGTACATAATATCACATCTCAGAAATATAGACAGATACTGAAAGGCCGAAACGTTATAATAAATATGGCGACAAAGATGAGGGCAATAGTCCGAATAATGTAGATAATATACATAATACCTCATCTCAGAAATATGGACAGAAGCATTTGTGAGATAAAAAAAGCAAAAAAAAAATGATATAGATAATCAGATTAATAATAAAATAAGATTTTTTTTACATACCTAAGAAGTAAAATAAATTCTATTAAAAAACAAGTGAAAATTCGCATAGCTATCCTCCTTGTATAAATTGGATGTAATCTGGAAATCTGATCTACCAGACAACCTCAAACGGAAACTCTTTTTAGTCTTAATATATGGTGTCATGGCTCGGACATTACCTAAAACTATAGAAAGCGAGATAAGGTCTACTGAAAATTTGCATAGCTAAAGCCTGGGCCGCGATGGATAAAATGGATGTAATCTGGAAATCTGATCTACCAGAAACCTCAAACGGATCTACTTTCACGCCACTGTAAAGACGGTTTTAATGTATTGTGCATCTACATGAGCATTAAATAAAACCCTTGAGTTTAAGCTTGATGGAACCTATACTCAGATGTTGAGAGCTATACTTAACCTCTGTTAGAAATAACATCCAACTACGTCACAGCTCTATGTGCCCATCCCTGATATTTCTACAGTCTTACACGAACATGTTATGACGCAGAATGACACCCTAATAACTTCCAGATTTTGATATTCAGGACCGTGATCTCTGGCG